CCCAACAAGAAAAGAAAATTATAGACCAATATCTCTAATGAATACTGATGCAAAAATATTCAACAAGATCCTAACAAACAGAATCCAGCAACACATCAAACAAATTATACACGTTGACCAAGTGGATTTTATCCCAGGGTCTCAAGGCTGGTTCAATATACATAAATCTATAAATATAATTCATCACATAAACAAATTAAAAAACAAAGACCGTGTGATTCTCTCAATTGATGCAGAAAAAGCTTTTGATAATATCCAAGATTCTTTCATGATCAGAACACTTAAGAAAATGGGTACAGAAGGAACATTTCTTAAACTGATAGAGGGTATCTACAGCAAACCCACAGCCAATATCATATTGAATGCAGTTAACTTGAAATCATTTCCACTCAGATCAGGAACCAGACAAGGTTGCCCATTGTCTCCACTGCTTTTTAACATTGTAATGGAAGTCTTAGCCATCACAATTAGGGAAGAAAAGGAGATCAAGGGTATCCATATAGGGTCAGAAGAGATCAAACTTTCACTCTTCACAGATGATGTGATTGTATATCTGGGAAACACCAGGGATTCTACTACAAAACTCTTAGAAGTGATCAAGGAATACAGCAGCATCTCAGGTTACAAAATCAACACTCATAAATCGGTAGTCTTTATATATGCCAACAATAGTCAAGCTGAAAAATCAGTCAAGGACTCTATTCCGTTCACAGTAGTGCCAAAGAAGATGAAATATTTGGGAGTTTACCTAACAAAGGACGTGAAAGTTCTCTATTAAGAGAACTATGAAACTCTAAGAAAAGAAACAGCTGAAGATGTTAACAAATGGAAAAACATACCATGCTCATGGCTGGGAAGAATCAACATTGTTAAAATATCCACACTACCTAAAGCAATATACAGTTTTATGCAATCTCTATTAAAGTGCCACTGTCATACTTTAAAGATCTCAAAAACATAATACTTCATTTTATATGGAATCAGAAAAAACCTTGAATAGCCAAGACATTACTCAGAAATAAAAACAAAGCACAAAGAATTGTGCTACCAGACCTCAGACTATATTATAAATTGATAGTGATCAAAATAGCATGGTACTGTCACAAAAACAGAGAGGTAGATGTATGGAACAGAATAGAGAACCAAGAAATGAACCCAGCTACTTACTGTTATTTGATCTTTGAGAAGCCAATTAAAAACATTTAGCAGAGAAAAGATTCCCTATTTAACAAGTGGTGCTGGGTGAACTGGCTGGTCACCTGTAGAAGACTGAAACTGGACCCACACCTCTCACCATTAACTAAGAAAGACTCTCACTGGATTAAAGATTTAAACTTAAGACATGAAACTAGAAAAACACTAGAAGAAAGTGCAGGGAAAACTCTTGAGGAAATTGGCCTGGGAGAATATTTTATGAGGAAGACCCCCCAGGCAATTGAAGCAGCATCAAAAATATACCACTGGGACCTGATCAAACTAAAAAGCTTCTTCACAGCCAAGAACACAGTAAGTAAACCATGCAGACAGCCCTCAGAATGGGAGAAGATATTTGCAGGTTATGTCTCTGACAGAGGTTTAATAACCAGAATCCACAGAGAACTCAAATGTATTACCAAAAAAAGAATAAGTGATCCCATCTCAGAGTGTGCAAGGAACTTGAAGAGAAACTTCTCTGAAGAAGACAGGCACATGGCCTACAGACAAATGAAAAAATGCTCATCATCCTTAATCATCAGAGAAATGCAGATCAAAACTACTTTGAGATATCATCTAACTCCAGTAAGATTAGTGCACATCACAAAATCCCAAAACCAGAGATGTTGGTGTGGATGTGGAGAAAAGGGAACACTTCTACACTACTGGTGGGAATACAAACTAATATGTTCCCTTTGGAAAGATGTTTGGAGAACACTTAGAGATCTAAAAATAGACCTGCCATTCGATCCTACAATTCCTCTACTAGGTATATATCCAGAAGACCAAAAATCACATTATAACAAAGATATATGTACCAGAATATTTATTGCAGCCCAATTCATAATTGATAAGTCATGGAAGAAGCCCCAGTGTCCATCCACCCACAAATGGTTTCATAACTTGTGGTATGTGTACACCATGGAATATTATGCAGCCTTAAAGAAAAATGGAGACTTTACCTCGTCCCTATTTACATAGATGGAGCTGGAACATATTCTTCTTAGCAAAGTATCTCAAGAATGGAAGAAAAAGTATCCAATGTACTCAGCCCTACTATGAAACCAATTTATAGCTTTCTTATGAAATCTGTAATCCAATTACAGCCCACTAAGGAGGGGAAAAGGGAGAGGGAGGAGAGGAGTGGAGGGAGAATAATTGGTGGGACCACACCTATGGTACATCTTATAAGGGTACATGTGAAATTTACTAAGTGTAGAATATAAATGTCTTAACACAATAACTAAGAAAATGCCCTGAAGGCTATGTTAAACAGTTTGCTGAAAATATTTCAAATTGTATATAAAACCATCGCATTGTACCCCATGATTGCATTAATGTACACAGTTATGATTTAATAAAAAAAAAAAAAGAAGGAAAAAAATCAAGAATAGGATGACCTTCATTATGTCAATCATACTAGCAAATAATCTGGCAAACTTGGAGTCTTGTTTGTCCAGTCTAGAGGAGACATCCAAGGTCACTATCAATGCCGCACCTGCCCTGAATCCCACCCTTGCATCACCTTTCCCTTGTTTTCCTCGCCTCTTTCGTCCCTTCATTCTTTACCAGGCTTTTCACTGGACCCACAGTGTATAAGGCACAGCCCAGTAGGGAACATGTGTGCTTGCTTCCCCTTGGCCCATCCATGTCCCTGGATTTTTCACTGGGGACATTTGCCACTTCTTTCACCATGGGAAACAGTAAAAAGTGGCTATGAGGAGCGCACGTTCTGGAGCTGACTCCACTCTACCAGGTGTGTGAACTTCAGGAAGCTAATTTCTCTGTGCCTCAGGGTTCCCATTGTAAAATGGAGATAACAATAGGGCCTATCCCCAAGTGCTCTTGCCAGGAAATCTATTCTTAATTAACAGCACTTTACATTAGCTACAATCTTTCCCCAATGGGTGAGGTGGGTGAGATGGATCCCAGCTCTAGGTGTGGGTGGTGACTGGCTTAAGCAATTAACAGGACCCATGCCAGCTACCATGGTTGGTTCAGGAGGGAGCTCGGTATTCTGTTCAGGCCAATGAGCTGCAAGGAGATTTCTGGGGCTTCTGAAAGAAAAGCTGCAACTCCAAGATTAAATGATATTCAGGAATTATTAACACTATCAGGAGTGATAATGGTGTCCCAATTTTATAAAAGACAAAGGTTCGTGTTAGAAATACACACTAAAGCATTTATGGGCGAATGCTATGGTACCTGTAATATGCTTTAAAATGAGATTGACAAGCCGGGCGCGGTGGCTCAGCGTGTAATCCCAGCACTCTAGGAGGCCGAGACAGGTGGAATGCCTGAGCTCACGGATTGGAAACCAGCCAGAGAAAGAGCAATACTCTGTCTCTAAAAATAGCCTGGGGTTTTGGTGGGTGCCAGTAGTCCCAGCTACTTGAGAGGCTGAGGCAAGAGAATCACTTGAGCCCAAGAGTTTGCAATTGCTGTGAGCTATAAAGCCATAGTACTCTACTAAGGGTGACAAAGTGGGACTCTGGCTCAAAAAAAAAAAAAAAAGTGAGATTGAGAAAACATCAATGATGTTGACGCTGAATGAGAATTCATGATACTATTTGCTGTACATTTGTTTATTTGAAAATTTCCATAAGATTTTGCTTTTTCTAAAAAAAGTTTGCTTACTATGGAAGAAAAGAGCATTTTTGTCCCCAGAGGCTCTATGGATGCCTGAGACCTGAAGCCAATAAGCATGGCTTCTGGAGTCAATCAGCTACAAAATTAGGCATCTTCCCACCTCTCTTTGGGGACCTTCATCACTTGAGGCAAGAAGGAGGTCACCTGGGCCGCAGCAGAGGACAGCAGGGAGGCCACAGGGAATGGAGCAATGAGTTTAAGTAGAGGGATAAACAGGACTTGGTTTTCCTGCATCTGTGTATCAAATTAAATGAACTCCTACCTCTGGCCTGAGAGAGTGTGTGGGGAGCTTAGCATCTCTCTAATTTAAGCCACTCCTATTACTTCTTAGATAATAAAATGTTAGCACTGGAAGCAACCTGAGAAAATAGCCAATTGGACCATCTTATTTTGCACACAGGTGTGGTATTTTAAGGCAGGTACAGTCGGCAGGTGAGACGCTCCTCACTAAGCTCATAGACTGGCTTCTTTTTGCTTCGTTTCTTCATTGCTCCCCTGAGGAAAAAAAATAAGGCAATACAATGAATCCACAATCTTTATTTTCTCTAAAAATTGAGGTAAAGGGAACTCTTTGGAAAAAGGAATCATCTGCATGATTGAAAATGGGAAGGTCGAGCTTCACACAGTGGCTTCAGGATGCACAGAGCAAGGAATCCAGTTTAGCCAACGTTAGCCAAGACCTTCCCTAGTTGGTCCAGACTCCAGGGTTGTGACTTGTATTTCAAAAAGGAAAACGGATGATCAAGAGTTTGAATCTACAGGCCCTGGAAATATGTAATGTCGACGCTCCGGTCATAGCAGCTGAGCATGCAGGCCAGAGTTTCTGTGCTGGGGAGGAAATCTACCCAGTTTCCCAGGCTCTTCCGATTCCTCCATGCCTTGTCCAGGATCTGCCCCATTCTCCTGGCCCCTGAGGGTCGCTAACTCTCCAAGCATCAGAGAAGAATGTTCTGTGGGTATGACTATCTCGTGCTGTGAGCCACCTTCACAGGAGAGTGGGGTGTGCAAACGTTTCCATAAGGGTCTAAAAGATCAGAGTGGGTGGGATTCACAGCAGCAGCCAACCAGGAGGACAGCCTTGACGGGCAGGCCTTCTCCTTGATCCCCTTTCATTATGACGTGGATTGGGCCTGATAGAGCCCTGAATCTTCCACCAGCTACTCCCACTTGATTCCAAGAAGCTCACAGCTGACATTCCACAGGCGCTCGGCCGTTTTGTTATCTCGGGCCCTTGGAGACACCCAGGTCCTCTTGCAGTCACTGGAAGGCAGAGAAAAGGATAAGTTCCAGGAATGAGAAGTGACAGTCAGGAGATATTTATGGTATCTTGTTCAGAATATGTTTCTAAATATATATAAAGTATCATAGGCTGGGTTCACAGAAACTAAGGATAGTTTCTGTTTTTAAACTGAAATGCAGTTTAAAAATACTTACAAAACAAATTTGCAATATAGTAACATGAAATCCAACAATGACGTTCACACACTCATCCTAGAAAAAGTGCTACATACTTCATGGCTGAATGTCACTACAGTCACCAGATGGCCAAGGAGAGTACTTAGAAGGTGACCATGGTGATATTCAGCCATGAGTTACGTAGCAGTTTTCCTAGGAAGAATTCCCCGATTTAGTTCTCTGACCTCATACATGAACTTCTCCGTTCATGTATAATAAGATCTAGCACCAGGTATCATAACCAGGGGATTTAGGCAGTGGTGAACATAAGCAGCATTCTGACATGCCTCAGCAACTGCACTGTCATGGGAAAGTATTTATAATTGTACGAGTGACAAAGTGACAGGTGTTGCACACACTATTGTGGTTCATTGCCTACTTTCATAATTAAAGGAAAAGCTAAATTTCAGGCGGAGGTTAGTCGAATTAAGATGAAATTATTGTCCTAACCAAGTTCACAGATTGCAATTGAATCCACAGACCCACCTGTGTCTCACACACCCCAACAAATCACCTTGCTTTGTTTTGGAGTGAGCAGGGGGCCTGAGGACTAAAGGGATGAGTGGGTGGGGCAGCACACGATTCTCATAGAGGTGTTTGTTTTTATTTTTAAGATAAGAGTCTCACTTTGTCACCTTGGATAGAATGATGTGGCATCATAGGTCACAGCAACCTCAAACTCTTGGGCTCAAGGGATCCTCTTGCCTCAACCTCCCAAGCAGCTGGGACTACAGGCACCAGCCACGACGTCCGGCTATTCTTAGAGACTGTGGGTGTCGCTCTAGCTCAGGCTGGCCTCCAACGCCTGAGCTCAAGCAATCCACCTGCTGCAGCCTCTGAAAGTGCTAGGATTACAAGTATGAGCCACCGTGGCTGGCTCTCGTAGTGGTTTTTTCAAATGGTATTTCTTTCTGATTATAAAAGTCCTGTATAACATTTGGAAAATACAGCACTGACAAAAGAAGAAAAGCCTATTGTTCAGTTGCTCTTCCTCACAGTCTTTCTTGCTTTGTTTGTGTATAAATGGATATGTACCCTTTCTCTATTTTATATAAAACTGGGATTCTATTGTATCTAGTTTGGGAAGGATATCTTTCCCTTCTGAAAAATACTTGTAAGTTATACAAGTAATAAATAACTACATGACTTTCTAAAATATTTTGAATAATCAAGAAATACTTAGAATAAAAATTTAAAATCCTCTATCACACTCTGCTTGATTCACCGTCAAACTTCCTAAAAGTAATCACTACCACCCAGTGGCTGGGTATGTTTTTGGACCATTCTCTATGTATTTATAATACATAATTATATGGGTTTATATTGCAGGTTTTTTCTCCCATTACATTACCGACATTTTCCCATTAAACATTATTTGAAAATATATTTAATGAATATAATATTTTATCAGATGTTTAAGACAGTGATGTTAAACACTCAGACTCTAAAGCAGTAATTGTCCCATAAAAATATGATGCAAGCCACATATGTAATTTTACATATTCTGGTAGTCACATTTAAAGAGTAAAAACAGTCCAGGCATAATGGCTCACGCCTGTAATCCTAACACTCTCGGAAGCTCAGGTGGGAGTATCCCTTGAGATCAAGAGTTCAAGACCAGCCTGAGCAAGACTGAGACCCCCATCTCTAAATAGAAAAATTAGCCATGTATTGTGGTGAGTACCTGTAGTTCCAACAAATTGGGAGGCAGAGGCAGGAGGATCATTTGAACACAAGAAATTGAGGTTGCTGTGAACTAAGCTGATGCCACAGCACTGTACCCTGGGCAACAGAGTGAAACTGTCTCACAAAATAAGTAAATAATTAAGAAAAAAAGGTAAAAACAAATGGGTGAGGCCAGGCACAGTGGCGCATGCCTGTAATCCTAGCACTGTGGGAAGCTGAAGAAAGTGGATTGCTTGAGCTCAGCCTAAGCAAGAGCTGACCCCGTCTCTAAAGTAGCCGGGCATTATGGCAGGAATCTGTAATCCCAGCTACTTGGGAGGCTGAGGCAGGAAGATTGCTTGAGCTCAAGGGTTTCAGGTTGCTATGAGCTATGATGCCATGGCACTCTACCCTGGGTTACAAAGTGAGATTCTGTCTCAAAAAAAAAAAAAATAGCATTCATTTGTCATTTTTTTTTTTTTTTTTTTGAGACAGAGCCTCAAGCTGTCCCCCTGGGCGGAGTGCCGTGGCGTTACAGCTCACAGCAACCTCCAACTCCTGGGCTCAAGCGAGTCTCCTGCCTCCGCCTCCCAAGTAGCTGGGACCACAGGCGCCCGCCACAACGCCCGGCTATTTTTTTTTGGTTGCAGCCGTCATTGTTGTTTTGGCGGGCCCGGGCTGGGGATTCGAACCCGCCACCTTAGGTGTATATGGCTGGCGCCTTAGCCCGTTGAGCTATAGGCGCCGAGCCTCATTTGTCATTTGAAAAAGTTATTCAACAGCCAACCCTTGTTTTATACAGTGTATAACAAACCACACTTGTTAAAAAATAAATAAATGAATGAATGATTTTTAAAAAGGTATAATTAGTTTAGTAATATATTAATATCATTTATAAATCATTATCACAATTGTAACTTATTACAAGTAAATTAATAAATACTTATTTTATTTAACCCTTGTAGATGAATCATTTTATCATGTAGTCAATATAAAAAATTATTAATGTAATACTTTACAGTTCTTTTTCATACTGTAAGTTTAGTGTCTTATCCAAAATGTTTGGAACCAGAAGCATTTCAGATTTGGGATGTTTTTTGTATTTTGGAATAGTTGCATTGGCTTGGTGCCTGTGGCTCAAGTGGCTAAGGCGCCAGCCACATATACCTAAGGTGGAGGGTTCGAATCCAGCCCAGCCCACCAAAACAACGGCTGCAACCAAAAACTAGCTGGGCGTTGTGGCGGGTGCCTGTGGTCCCAGCTACTTGGGAGGCTGAGGTAGAAGACTCGCTTGAGCCCAGGAGTTGGAGGTTGCTGTGAGCTGTGATGCCACAACACTCTACCCAGGGAGACAGCGTGAGGCTCTGTCTCAAAAAAAAAAGTTGCATTGTACTTACAAGCTGAGCATCCCAGATCCAAAAATCTGAAATCCAAAATGCTCCGAAATCCGAAACATTTTGAACACTGACATGACACTCAAAGGAAATATTCATTGGAGTATTTTGGACTTTGGATTTTCAGATTCTCAACCAGCATATCTTCAAAATCTGGCATGTACTTTATGCTGACAGCACATCTCAATTTGGACTAGCCATGTTTCTTTTCCTTTTCTTTTTTTTTTTTTTTTTTGAGACACAGCCTCACTTTGTCACCCTCAGTAGAGTGCCATGGAGTCATAGCTCACAGCAACCTCAAACTCTTGGGCTCAAGTGATCCTTTTGCCTCAGCCTCTCAAGTAGCTGGGACTAAAGGTGCCCACCACAATGCCCAGCTGGAGTAGCCATATTTCAGGTGTTTGACAGCAATATGTGGCTAAGTGGCAACTGTGCTCTAGCCAGATGGCCTGGGTATAAGTCCCAGATCAACCACTGTGAGATGTTTGACCTTGAGGAAGGTTCGTATTATCCTGTGCCTCAGTTTCATCTGAAAAATGGGATTAATATTATCTACTTCTTAAAGTTGTGATGATTATACAAATTAATACATGTAAAACTCTCAGAAGAGTGCCCACCACATTCTAAAAGCTCAAGCAACATTAGCTGTTATCATTTATCCATCCCCCTATCATTGGACACTGACATTGTTTCCAATGCTCCCTTTAATAAATGGTACACCAATGAACAGCCCAGACAAAGTGGGACAGAGGGAAGATTGGACTATCTTAGGTCATAGAATGGGAAAGATTTAACCCTGGGCTTCCCTTTATTCCCCAGCTCTGGTTGCCTGGGAATAAGTTTGTGATAAGATTCAGCGCTGAACTTTCTATTTCTATATTCCCAACAGATAGTCTCAATCTTGGCAGCATTGGGAGACAGAGTCCACACTGGGATGACAGGACCTTCCCCCAGCATTTTGTGCTAAGTGGTACTAAAAAATTCACCAATCAAGTCAACCGAAAGCTTAAAGGAGAAAAAGAATCCAGAGGGCCCAGGAACATTCTTCCCATGGCATAACCAACAAGGATAGTCTTTACGGCTTTCAGAAAGCCACAAACTTTACACAGAACCCACCACACGGGTCTAAAATAGAACCATAAAAGCAACTCTTTCTAACATACATAAATTTCTAATGTACGTTTCTTTGGAAAAGCAAAAGTATTTGGTTTGCGGGCCCAACCCAAACCTAGACTGCATCATCAGACCTAAACTCAGCTGCTCAGGGTGCAAAGCCCCGGGGAGTCCAGGGCCTCACACACACGGGTGGTAGAGAGAACCAGCTCTGCCTCCACACACCTGAAATACTTGCCACTCAGGGGCTCCAGGCCCTCAGCCAGGGCGCAGTGGAGGCTGGTCTGCGCCCCCTCCCGCACCGTCTTGGCAAAGCGGGAGAAGAGACGCAAGAGCAGGCACAACAGGAAGGAATGGCGGACCAGCTCGGAGCGGACAATGCCGGGGTGCACTGCGTAGGTGGTGACTCCCGTGCCTGGAACGGAGAGGGACAGTGAGACCGAGACACACTCCGAGGAAAGCAGCTCGTCTCCTGCAGCAAAATGCGCAAGTGAAAAGAAGGGACTCAGGAAACTCCAAGATTCAGCGAGGCAGATTTTAATCAGTAGTGAATTGATCTCTTCCAGAAAGATCTATAGCCTTCTTAGTCTTTTATGTGATAAAAAGAGTGCCTAGTTCGACATCCTTCTATTTCAATGTCACCTTTATACTGTGGATTGCTTGAGCTCAGGAGTTTGAGACCAGCCTGAGCAAGAGTGAGTTCCTATCTCTAAAAAGATAGTCAGGTGTTATGGTGGGCGCCTATAATCCCAGCCACTCAGGAGGCTGAGGCAAGAGGATTGCTCAAGCCCAAGAGTTTGAGGTTGCTGTGAGCTATGATGCCATCACACTCTCCCTGGGTGACAAAGTGAGACTCTGTCTCAAAAAAAAAGAAAAAGAGAAATGAGAAAGAAAATCAACTAAGATAACAGATATGAGATAAAATATGAAATGATGGTAAGGTAACTATATGAAGTTCTTAACCTCTATTCAAATTTAAGCTTCCTCGGGGCAAGGGCTCTAGTTTTAGTCTGTCTAAAACTTCATTCTCCTTAGAGGACAGAGCTGTTACTGAAATGTGCATGTCTGACAGTCTGACTTCAGAAGTTCTATGAACCTCTAATCTGATGTGAGGACCCTGTTTTTTGCTATTTCACCCTGGCGCTTTCTCCAGACTTACCTTTGAGTTTCTTGGCCAGCTCACGAGTAAAGAGTATGTTGGCCAGCTTGCTGTGGCAATAGGCAAAAGCCCTGTTATAGTGCTTTTCCCCATGGAGGTCATGGAAGCGAATCTTGCCAACATGGTGGACCACGGAGGACAGGTTCACCACCCGTGCAGGAGCAGACTTCTTCAGTTGCTCCAGAAGAAGGTGGGTAAGAAGGAAGTGGCCTGTGAGAAGAGCCAGCAGAGGAGATGTAAGAGTGGCATGGCAGCGGACTCAGGGTGTGAGAGCGGGTGACAGAACTTCAGTATAGCTCACCATCTTCCAGTGGGAACAAATCTGGATACCTCAAGTAACTCCGTGCTAATGGGCAGCTGGTCTGAGTTAGTGAATTTCTCAAAGCCAGAGCCAGAACTAGGCCATAGGTAAAGGTAATAATACTTAATTTATATTTATTTCCACCTCTCCTTTGCCCCAGTCAGAACCAACACCACTTCCTACCTTCCAACTCCCTCTGGTCATGACTGTACAGCTATGGGCCGAGGTGCACTCACATAGAGAAGATGGACTTGTCAGGGAAAAGAACATTTGCCTAGGATCAGAGAACATGTTCCATGCTTCCTCTCTAGAGCTGTCACCTTGAACTCTGAACCCCAGCTGGTCTTATACCTCATACTCCCAAGTGTCACCTACCCCTTGGCCCTCATAATGATCTGCGCACCCTGAGCCCTGGCTCTCCCTAGCCAGGCTTCTACTGTCACTGCCCAATCCAAAAATGACATTCTTCTCCCTAGTATCTCCTGAAATTTGGGGTTTCTTAATGACAGAGGTAGGAGGATCTCACTTTTTTAGGGTGGTCAGGAGAGAAACAGTGAACAAGCCAATGCATCCAGTCTATTAGAATCCTCAACTCTCTGAGGACCACTAGAGATTCTCAGGACAGGTATAGGGTCCACTTCCTACAGAGACCAAGGTGGGACATGCCCACTTTTCAGACTCCCAGAGGTACTTACCTAGGTGGTTGACTCCTATATGAGTTTCAAAGCCATCAGCTGTCTTGGAATATGGACACATCATCACTCCCGCATTGTTGATCAGAATATGAAGCTGCTTTTCCTCTATAGAGCACAACCAGGGTGGCCCTGTGGTTAGTAACAAGTCCCCCACCTGCCTGTCACAGTCCTGAGTATTTGCCCCTTGCCTTTGTATGTGAGCTCTCTTTGTTGGGGCAAGGTTTAACAGAAGTTACTTGCTCTGCTCTTTTCTTGTAAGACAAAGTATTGCCTCAACAGTCACGACTTATTCCCCATTTGGGCCTATCTCCATGATAGTCAATAAGCATGGTCACTGGTTTTCTAATTTTAGTTATTCATTTCTTCTAGGACACAGTTCATTCATTTATTCAGCAAGTGTGTACTGAATACTGACTCTGGGCCAGGCCCACTCTGCTGGCCACTGGGAATCCAGTGTTAAAACAAGCCAGACATGGTCCCTATCCTTCATGGACAGACTTTAGTACAAACTGGTCATTTTCCAAAACCCAGAAGAATTTTGGCAGCAGCACAACTTCATCTAGTGCCTGTGGCCACAGAAGGTACATTCTCAGCATGAAAGAAGAGAGTGGCATCAGTGCCACACCTTGATGCTGAGATGCAAGCCCAGACAGGGAGCCAACACCTCAAACATTCCCACTGCTGAGGCAAAACGGAGATAAGGACCCACCCAGCTTGTCCACCCACCACCCCTTTGCCAATTCCAGTTCATGAGGCAGAACCTGTCCAGTGGGATTAACCATGGCTCTGATGTAAGGGCCATTGACAGTCCCGGGTGGGGCAGCCACTCCCATGCCCAGTTTCCACCAGGCCTCACCTGCCAGAAAGCCCTCAGCGAAGGCTCGGATGGATTTGGTGTCAGATAGGTCCAGTTTCCGCACCAGCACCTGGGAGTTCTTTGTATCTGCTCGGATTTCACTGGCAGCAGACTCCCCCTTCAGTACATCCCGGCAGGCAATGTACACTCGGGCTCCTGGGGCCAAGACAAAGAGGGGGCAATGTGTTCAGATACTCAGCTGAAAAGAGGCAGAGTAAAGGAGCTGGTACTGGTGGACAGAGCGTTCTCCGAGCTGTCCTTAGAGCAGTGGCGTGGCCATGTTGCCACCTCAGGATTTTCACAGTGGGACTGGCAGTCTTCTTGCTGTCACCTTAACCCCAGGCTGGAAACCCTGGTTTAATGCTTTGCTATTTAATGCTGCTTAGTATCTCCTTTTAGAATAACTAAAAGGAGACTTGACCAATATTATACGCAGACATTGGTTTTCTTTTATATAATAAGGAGGGAGTAGGGAAGAAGCAATGTTTGTTAAAAGCCACAGAGTAAGTTGATGTCACAGTTGGACTTGAATTCCAGGTTCCTTGAATTCCTAGTCAGAGCCTCCAAGCCCAGGAGGAAAGACATGAAACCGGGAGCAGAGTCCTCAGTGCAGGGGGCACGGCCCCAGGGAGCCTGGAGCAGAAACACTTGCCTCTGCGAGCGAGCTCTCTGGCCGTCTCCTTGCCGATGCCTGTGTTGGCGCCAGTGATCACCACCACTTTCCCAGGAATCTGCACGCTTGTCTGACACACTCCATTGGCAAAGAACTTCCTATCAGCAAGGGAAACAGAGGATCAAGCACCATCTTCCCCCAACCCCTCACTGAGAGATGTAAAATAACGTCATCCAGACTCAAAGAGGATCTTTTAAGTTATAGTCACAAGACCTGAAGAATTAATTTAATCAACTTTCCCACTGGTCAAGGTAAAGAGGATCTTTTAAGTTATAGTCACAAGACCTGAAGAATTAATTTAATCAATTTTCCCACTGGTCATGGTAGTCACTTGCTCATCAGTGCAGGCTGGAAGGTCATTTGCCTGGAAGCCACAAATGATCATCTGGGCAAACATAAGTGCTATGTTCCAGAGACATGGAGACCTTCCTAGTTAGATAATGAGGATACCCAGCTCTTATCTCTAGACGTCCCTCCTCTAACCCCAGTCAAAGCAAATGCATGATGTACCATCAGTGGAATCAGAGTCATCATTCTGGGGGCTGCAGACACAGAGGTTGCTCTCGGGCTGTCTCTCTTGTTTTAGAGTGTGGGGCAGTTCAGAGGGTTTCTGCGATAATATTAGGGATTTCATTCTGGCCAACAGTACGCAGAGAGAAAATCTCCCTGGTTCAGGCCTTTCTGCAGAGAGAAGTTGATTTTTATAAGTTCCAAAACAGAAGACCAGAGAGGAGCCTCTCTGCCCATCATCTGACTGCCAGACACTAGGCTGGGCACTTTCTAATTTATTTTAATCCTCTCAACCACTCCAATGTTATTTCCATATCACAGTGGAGAAAACTGAGGCTCAAAGAAGTTCAAGTCACTTCTAAAGGTGGCAGAGCTAGAATTTAAACCCAAGTCTCTACGGAGGACCTAGAAAAACACTCTGCCCCTGATAAGTCCGTTTTACCTTCTTAATCATCTGCAATTTTTATATTCTCCCCACAGAACACACATTTCTTTGACACTTCCAGAAACCCCACAGCTAAAGAGCCATCCCAAAACATTAGTTGAGGGTATCTCAAAGGACCTTGTACTTAACAATAAATTCCTTGACAATGACCACCTATGACAACCCAGCAGGGCCACCTTAAAAGGAAAATCTTTAGAGAAATCCAAGGGAATAGCGCAAAAGAGTAAGGACTTCCACCTGAGTTGTCTGTTCAGTTACACGTAACACAGTCATCCATGCAGCCTTCCACTAGCATCAAAATTCCACCCAGCCCCACCTCTCCCAGCCCCAGGTGGTTCCTTCTCATTTTCCAGTATGGTATAACTCTCCTTCCATCCTGCTTCTCCTGCCCTAACTTTTTTTCCCTCAGCCTCCTTTCCTTTCTCTTGTTTCAGACAGGCTTCCAACATAGACCTTTGTAAACTATTGTTGTGAGTTGTTAAATTAAGACAAACCTGATGGATGGAGCCATCACATACAAGAAAGAAAAGAAAGAAGTGAGCAGTCCCAGGGTAACCAGCATCTTTCCAACTTCTTCAGTTGTTGCTGCTTTTGCTGCTGCTCCGGGTTCAACCCCAACTCTGGCTCCCGATTCTGGTCTGGCTTCCAGCTTCTCACTCCACTAGCTCCTGGGTGCTCAGCAACAGCCAGACTCCTAGCAGCGCCCAGAATCCTATTTAAATCCGAGAGCTGTCAGCGCACAGCCTGTTGGGAAATGTAGTCCTGGCAGGGAGGAGCCCGAGGAACGGGTAGAACCTTCCTTACACAGAGGCAAAGGAAATGTGGGGAAACTGAAGTGACTGTCCCCTAACTCCCCACCCGCAATCATTTCTCTAAGATAGGGAATGTATTCTCCCAACCAACCCCACCTTAACTCTTCAAAATTGAATATACATATATTGTAGAATATTTATAACTTTAGCAACTTTAACAACAACTTGAAATACAAGTGTGATTAACATAGAAAGATAAGGGGAAACCCCAGAGAATGGACAGAGAAGTCTGGACAGTGGTTACCCCTCATGAGGAAGGGGCAGTGAGTGGGAGGGAGTCTGAGTGGAGCTCCTGGGGTGCAGGGAGTGTTTTGTTCTTTGATCCGGGTCCTAGTACACAGGAACACTCACTTTCTGAGAATCCATTGAATTATACACTTTTGATTTGTGCGCTTTTCTGAGTTTTATGTTATACTTCAATGAAGTTTTTTTTTTTTTTTGGACAGTGCCTTACTCTATTTCTTGCTGGAGCAAGTGGCATCATCATAGCTCACAGCAACCTCAAACTCTTGGGCTCCCTCCTGCCTCAGCTTCTGGAGTAGCTGAAACTACAGATATGTACCACCATGCCTGGCTAATTTCTGTATTTTTTATAGAGATGGGATCTTACTATGTTGCTCAGGCTGATCTCAAGCTCCTGACCTCAAACGATCCTTCTTCCTCAGCCTCCCAAAGTACTGTGATTATAGGTATAAGCCACTGTGCCCAGCCTTCAGTGAAGTTAATGCACTCGTGCCCGTTACAAGGCAAGGGTGTAGTATTTAAGTGTATTGACTCTAGAGCTGGAACTTCCCCGATTCAAATCCCGGATCATCTACTTATATGTTCCATGGCCCTGGGAAGTTACTAAACCTCTTTGTTAACTCAGTTTCCTCACTTGTACAATGGGTGGGCATGATGAACACACACACACACACACACACACACACACGGGGTGGACATAAAGTTCATGTGTAATTTAAAGTTACAACTATTTTAAATTGCACACGAACTCTATGTCCACCCTATAACATATATAATATGTGACATACATAACATACATATGGGTACATACATACTAACTTAAATATTTTAAGTATTCAATTATTATATAGGTAGAAAATTTGAGATAGAAACTAGCATATACTAAACCCAGTATAGGAGTAAGCTGCTGTGGTTAGCTGTACTGACTCCTCTCTCTCTACTGTCCCTCTTGCTTTCCTCAAGGGTTTGGTGTAGAAAAGGGACTGTGTCAATGTGACTGAAGTTTTGGTTGAACACCATTAAAGATGGGGGGAAACACACACACACAAAGCTGGCCGAAATTCTCAGAGCCTCTGGATGTGTGTGAGAGGATGGGAGAAGGATAGGTGGGCTTCACTGCCCTTGTTCACTCAGCATTCCTCTCTGGATGAACGGACAAGCAAGGAGCCAGGGCAGGACCTCAGGAGTCACGTCCCGCTTCTGTTCCTTTCTGTAAAGCCCAAGAAGCTCCCAGGAAGCTTGTAACTGCGTACATGAAAGACGCCCCCTGTGCCTCTGGCGCTCACCCCCTCCTTCATCAATTCATCCCCTCAACACACACTTACTGGGCGCTTCTCAGTGCCAGGCATCGTGCCAAGTACCAGAAACACACAGTTTCTGCCCCTTGGGAAGCCCATAGACTTGACCATCAGAACAAGGAATGATCAGCTAATCACAAGGGGAACTTTTCTTGACTCAAACCCAAGATCTCCTGCTTTTATGAAGATGGTGCTCAACTCATCTTGGTGTTGTGGGGAGGCAGAGAGTTCTAAAGAACAGCATACAGTTCTCAGAAGAGGAGATATTAGAAGGAATACTATGTATAAGGCATCTGGAATTATGAAAATATATAAATAGCTACCTAAAAATAAATGTCAAATTTTATAGTCCAAAGACCACTATTAGATTATTGATTAGCTGTACCAAAACATGAAACTATAGGCTAGGCGCCTTGGCTCCCTCCTATAATCCCAGAACTCTGGAAAGCTGAGGTGGATGGATCACCTGAGCTCAGGAATTATAGACCAGACTGAGCAAGAGCTGACCCTGTCTCTAAAAATCGCCAGGGGTTATGGCAGGCACCGGTAGTTCCAGCTACTTGAGAGGCTGAGGCAGAAGGATCACTTGAACCCAGGAGCTTGAGGTTCCTGTGAGCTAGCCACGATGATGTCATTGCTCTCCAGCCTGGGTGACAGAGTGAGACCTCATCTCTAAAAGGAAAGAAAAAGAAAACAGTGGAGAGGCAAGAAATAAACACAAATAATAAGGGAATTTAGGTATAATTAAAGTGCTATTTCAAATAAATAGTGGGGGGAAGATGATTTATTTAATAAAGTATTGTAACACCTTCGTATTCTATTGGGAAAAAGTAAACTTGATCCTCCCAAAATTCTAATAGATCAAAGATATAAATATGAAAGATGAAGCCATTAAAGTATTAAGAAGAACCATTGAACAATATTTTACATAATTTTAGTGTGGTAAAATCTTTCTAGCAAGACAAGGATAAGCAGAAACCAAAAAATGAAGGTAATTCATGACAAAAACCTCCACACATGAGGCAAGATGAGTGAGAAACTGGGGGGAAATATTCACAATATGTGTCACAAACACGAGTCTAATTGATGTAACATGTAAAAAACTCTTACAAATCAATAAGAAAAAGAATAACAACCCAACTGAAGTAACAGTTTACAGAAAAGGAAAATGCAAGTGGATTTTCAACCTCACTCATGAAAGATACAAATTAAAGTTACACTGGGAGCCACTTTTCACTTATTAGATTGGCAAAGATCAAAATGACTATAGTATGATCCACCGGCAAAGATGTGAAGAAATAACATTGAGACACTGCTGGTGAGGGAATTGGTTGTCACACACTCAGTAGAAACAAGTGTGGAAACACGTCATAAAGCCACACGTGTACTGGTTGACCCAGACATTCCACTTCCTTGTAATCATAAGGTTATTGCTGCAGCATTGTAACAGCAAAAGTTCGGAAGCTTCCTAAGTGCCACACTACAGACAGTACATACCTGTGAAAAAGAAAAACAGTTTTTAAACATACTGATAGAAGGGAGCAGAACAGAGTTTATAATATGCTACTGTTTGTTTAAAAGCGGAGGGGATCTAGGGACTTGCTGGTGTATGCGCAGAGCATCTCAGAATAGATAAGAAGAAGTGAGTAAGGACAATTGCGTCTAGAGAGACAGGAGTGGGAGGAGGCTTTTCACTGAGTGTATGTACCTTTTGTACCTTATGAACCTATAACCTATGGTCTATTTAAAATTTAAGTTTTCAGCTAAAAAAAACCCACTGATAACCCACAGGTCACCCTTGTCAGGCTTCCAAATTAACCACCTGGAGAAGGTGGTGTTATAGTTACATCCTGTCCCTGAGTGAAAACTCTTATCGTGAATTCCTACAAATCTTATGCCCTCAAACTGTAGACATAATGATTATACTGATTAAATACATCTCTATTGACGTTGAAAAGGACATTGACTTCTTTCTAACTCATGATGTTTTACTGATTGTCTTGAGCATTAGCCAGTGTGTTGTCAGTTCTGGCCAATGATTATAACCTCTGTTTTGTACCCTCCACTGACAAAGGACAACAGTGACAAGAAGAGTCCCCTTCCCTTCTCCTAAACTCTCTTATAAAAGTATTCCAACTTGTAACAGACTTTGGAACGCTTCCAACTAGTTTGATGTGTCTTCCTGCATCAATCCTTGCATTTAACTTTCAATAAATTTTTACCACATACTAAGTTATTTCTGCTTAGGTTGAGCACCATTAGAGAGAACCTATCTCAAAAAAAAAAAATTAGCTGGGCATGGTAGCGTGCTTCTCTAATCCCAGCTGCTAGGGAAGTTAAGGCAGGAGGATGGCTTGAGCCCAACAGTTTGAGGTTGCTGTGAGCTACAATGACACCACTGACTGTACTCCAGCCTGGGCAACAGAGCAAGATCCTGTCTCAA